GGGCAATATGCTGACTCTGTAAACCGCTTAGAGAGGGCTGAAAGCCCTATGAAGCGGTATATAAGTCTAACTGCTATTGCTATTGCTATTAGCAACTGTCTATTGGCTCTTCCACACATTAACATTTGAATGGTGGGTAAATACCACAAACCTTTATTACATCCTCAGACCCAGTAAAACATTCTTCTCTTAAGCATAACCAACTTAGTTTTCTGCATAATACTAAAACCCATTAAGAAGTCAGGAGAAATAATTACTTCTGGCAGCAAAATGGTGTTTTTTATATTTAATGTTGCCAAAGGTGAGAGGAAGCAAGAACTGCAATTTCTTTAGTTTTACGCATTTCAGGTTCAAAGCAGAAAATGACAAAAGATAGGGTCAGCTTGGGTGAGTAAAGTACGTAGAAGAGACAGAACTTTATGTTAAAGCAGAGTTAATAGAGCTGCCCCCACACATTTTGCTCTTAAATGTTTATGTTCCAAGTGGGTTTTCTTTTCTTCTCTTGATAGGATTTAATTTCAGTTCTGGAGTACATCGAGGAAAAGCCAATTGGATTATAATAGTTTTAGAAAACTTCATGGATTTACCTAGGTGTAAACAAGTATACCCTTCCATCCAAAGTGTACACCTATTAAAATTCTAACATACAACGCTGAGTACGGTGTTTACTTCTGCACCTGAGGTCGATTACAATATTTCAGTAACCTATGCTATGTTGTTTCCTTGACTATTCTCTTAAGCCTTTTTCTGGAGCTAGACTTCAATCGTTACAGCAATTTCATAAGACTAAGGAACCATTTTCCTGAAAGCCATTGCCGTTTCTCAAACCTTGAGATAGCACTAATTCTTGAATAGCTTTAAGGATAATATTTTCTCAGCCCTAAAAGTTAGAGACAAGGATTGCTAGCAGCCATGTGCCTGGAATTTATTTCTTGGAAGTAATTCACAATGTAACCAATGATATGAATCACATCTCATATATTTTTTCATTAAGAATCCGGACTAAAGAAAGTGTTTTTACTAACTCCAGAAAGTACATGGGTCTAAGGAGCAACAGTTTATCATTCAGGCCAGAGATGCGTTCCTACCAGTTCGCACCTATTCGGTAGAACCGGTTCGTCAAATCTACCGGACCGGTTAGAAGAGGTTCTACCAGTGGACCCGGAAAGCAGGCCACACCTACAGAAGAGGTTCCAAAAAATTTTGAAACCCACCACTGATCCTGGACATTCAATGGCTTCAATCTTATCTCCCATATACCACCTTCAGCAGTAAAGTACACTGC